TGAGCACTGTGGAGCGAAAATGTCAAAATTTGCATCAGTCTATTATATATATTATAGCCATTCCATAGCAAAACAATATAGTGGTTCCAGAATTTCGTAACAATTTGTACTTTTTTTCTTTATCGCAAAATATAAGGCCCATATTCAGTGCTGTTAATTCTCAAAATCAATTGAACATTTTTGATGAAAATGAGAAAAGCAGCTATTCGCTATCAAAGGGCACCTCCTTCGAATGGGTGATATCAGTTGCTTAGTCATATGACGAAGGCATGGATCATTCTCATTGGAGAAACGCTTGATATCATTCAATTGAGCCAACCCGACCCCAACCTGACTTCTGTCAAACCCCAACCCGACATTGACCCGACATTGACCCGACATAAACCCAAAGTTTACCCGACAACAACGCGAAATTGGTCGACATCGACCTTAAGTTTGCCATACATTGATCCAACATTGGGGTGACTTGTCTGTTCGAGACTATTCTGCTGGGTTTCTTCCATACTCCACTGTCGTATATCAAATGATAGTGAGTGACTCAATTGACAATGTGACAATGAGATTCAAATGAGAAAGGGGCTCTTCAAATTATGGTCATGTGAGAATTCGTTTTCACAGAATTGATTGAATGGTTGGATTGGTTCATCTTCAACCGAATGATATGAAAATTAACAGCACTGCCTATATTCGTCATTAGGGGACCATTTAGGGTGGTACAAAAATCGATTTTTTTCGATCATGTTATAGTCGCTATAAACCGATGGAGACGCATGATAGTCTAGTCGCATAGGAGTATTGAGCGAAAACCCAAAACTTGATAACTTCAAAAAAATATACATTCAGGAACCCTTATTGCCGGATTCCTTATTACCGAGCTATCCGTGAATAAGGATACCCACAGCTTATGGGATTTGCACTAATAGGGGCTGTAGTGAATTATCTCATTTGTTTCAATATATAGAGCTATACTATCTTGGATAAACTTGTTGTACTGGGATAGAGCAACAGGCCTGTGTCATTGGATTCAGGTTTAATTGGGAACTAGGTCGTTAGAGGCGCTTTACTTTTATGTTATTTATGACGGGCGCTATAATATATGGATCTTGGGTCCAACATAGAATATTTCGTGATCCTGGCCATATAGAAAGTTATTGTCTTCAGCAAAGTTTTTTAAGTGACCAAGTCTTTTCGGATGGTCACCACATTGGTTCAGAACTCTCTCAATACACAGCACTAGTGTGCACATGAGCTTCGTATATCAGCTGTATCCTAAAATCCTGGTTATATAGAAGGTTACTGTCTTCAGCAAAGTTGTTCGGGTGATCATGTACTTTTGTATGGTGTTCATATTAGTTCAGAACTCTCTCACTACGCAGCGCTAGTGTGCATGTGAACTTCGTATATAAACTGTATCTTGAAAACTTGGCCATATAGAAACTTGATGTCTTGAGCAAAGTTGTTCAGGTAACCAAGTCCTTTCGGATGGTGGTCATATTTTTTCAGAACTTTCACACTACGCGGCGCTAGTGCGCACATGAACTTCAATAATATGTTATGTCTAGAAAGCTTGTCCATATAAGATGTTGCTCTGCAATATGAGGACACGAAACGGAATAGGGATAACGTGCAGAGAGACTGGAAATAGATTTCGGACGCCATTTTAAAATCCAAGATGGCGGTCATCCATTCAAGACAAGCTTCGCAGGGTTCTGAAATATATTTTTAATTCTGTAGAGGGCATATTTAGGTCAATCATTAATCCACCACAGCCCCCATTAGTGAAAATCCCATAAGCTGTGGGTATCCTTATTCGCGGTTACTTATTCACGCCCCCGTTACCCCGGCAATAAGGATTCCTGACTTTAATTCAAAAATGAAAAAAAAAAACACACATCGCTGATTTGTGATATAATGTGTAAAAAAGCCTAAATTTTCAAGGAAAAATATAAAAAACATATTAGGCTCTCTATCTACAAACCATGAAAACCATTTAAAAAACAAACAAATGCAATCAATGTTTTTCAATGCAATTTTTTTTATATCATTATATTTTTACTAGTAATTATTTGTAATTACCTTTCATTTGATGTTTTGATATTTGAAATCCGGCCCAGTGGTTCAACAGCTGTATACAAATCCATTCCATATATACTGTCCATATATCCATTCGATAGCAAAACGATATAGTGGTTCTCATAATTTCGTAAAAATTGGTAGTTTTGTTATATTAGACCCATATTTAATAATTTTGTCATTAGTGCGACCATTTCCATGCTAGAGTGGTCCAAGAAATCGATTTGTTTTCAAAAATGACTTTTTTCAAAAATTCATACCTTTTGAACCACTAGACCGATTTCAAAGATCAATTTTTCAATGAACACGGTACACTGTTGTAGGTAAAACATTAATTTTCTATTGTGACATTTTAATATTATATTGCAACTTTTCAAGGTAAACCATGGGCCACTTAGTAACAAACTCTTTTGCTTATTACAGCCCTCCTAGTAATCGTTTTCGGAAGCTTTTGTCGTCTGTTTGTTGACAACAACAATAACAATAACAGTGAATTTTTCAGTTGATAAATCGCTCTTGTTTTGGTGACAGTCACCATGCAAGAGGAGCGTAAAAAAAAAGTCCTGCACAGTCACCTAGAAAATCCGCGTTCAAGCTGGCAAAAGTATTCAATTTCCTAGAAACACCGTATGACACGTGCTCAAATCGTACAGTCAAACCTTGACGACGAATCGGAAGCCTCAAAGTAAACGCTGGAGTGGAACTGCCAACAGTCAGTTCCAAGGAAAGGTCGTGAGGGCCATCAGAAGCAACCCAGCAATACCGTAGCTAGAACCCGTGCTCGAAAGCTGTATGACAACCTGCTGACCAAGTCCGGTGAATGCATACTTATGAATGATGAAACCTATGAAAAGGCCAACTTCCTACAGCTTCCAGGACGAAAATTTTACAAGGCGAAGGCTCGAGGAGATGTCCCAAGTAGATTCAAATTTGTTTTTGCGGATAAATGCGCATCCAAATATATGATCTTGCAAAGAATTTGCAGCTGCAGTCAGAAGACAAAGGTTTTCTACATTGAGAAAATGATGAACTCAGAGGTTTATAAAACCGAATTCTACCCTTCATCCAGTCACATTTTGGTCGGATCTTGCGAGTTGGCTCTACAGCCGGGAAGTACAACAATGGTACAATGACAGGAGTCCAGTTTGTTCCGAAAACCCTCAATCCACCCAATTGTCCCCAGTTCAGGCCCATTGAAAACTACTGGACAATTATAAAGAGGAAACTGAAGGTGAAAGGTACAGTCATCAAAACGGCAGCTCAGATGAAAAATTGGTGGTATAAAATCGCCAAAACAGTGGACGAGATCGTTGTGCGCCGCTTAATGAGTCGTTTTATGGGAAAAATGGGTTCATCCTGGGGAGAATACAGGAAGTTTGAGTGCTTGCTAAAAAAAATGACTTGAGAATAAAAATGTATAAGTCTTTTAATTAGTCAGTCACCACCAGAGCGGTGTAGTGGTAAGCTTGATTACCTCTCACCCTAGCAGGCCTGGGTTCAATCCCAGTCAGCGCCGCCGGGATGTTCTGAGGCATAACATCTCTGATCACGCCTTCCTTCGGCCGTAAAGCCGTTGATCCGCGGTTCATGAGTTGGTGGGTCGATAGGTAGGGTCCAGGTGTGTGAGCTACCTCCCTGGCGTCGGAAGCATTGGTGCTCAGCACGGAAAACAAGATCGATGGAAAACAAATCAAGGAAATAAAAAATAAATAAATTCTCCCCAGGATGAAACTATTTCCATTAAATTCCGCATGTTTCTTACCTACAGAAATGATATGAACTAAGGGAAATGGCTCTAATGTTGGCCTATGGATCTTAGATTGGGCCCATCGCTAAAAATATCCTATTTATCAATTTTATCTAGATGAACGCATCATTCCGACGGTACTAATGGATATTTTGGTCGCTATTGAAAATTTAGTCAATTGAAAAATAAATATGTATGGGCCCAAATTAGGAACATTTAGGGCGACAGTACATCCATTTTCCCTATATATTTGTTTCAGCGAATTTCAGTGGCACACAATTAAATGTTTTTTTCCGTCCATTTTTTCCCATTGTGCAACGGTTGAATGAGAAAATCTTATAAATAGTTAAAAAGACACAATGTAAAATTTAATCTCTGTCTGCCATATCATTTTATTGGGCTTTAAAATTATGAAAAGTATAACAATAAAGCATTACCCAATTAATAATAAAACAAGATCATTTGGGTCTATAGAAATGATATGAACCATACTTTTAATTCAGCGAGTTTCAGAAATGTTACAAAATTAAATCAATTTTTTCGTCCATTTTTCCGCGATGTGCGTTACTCCTCACCTAATAAGTTTATTGGTAATTTTCAATCAATTTACGAGAATAAAGTTAGTAATAGTTATGTAGCTACTGTATAAATATAGGATATTCCAAACAGATTTAAAACGAATGATAGTGAATACGTAAGTAAATCAGCGCACCTTTCGTGCATTTCTGCTAATGATTCAATTTGCACCTCAAATCGCCCAGGGGTAAACAGCTGAAAGTGGTAAACAAACAAATGCGGTAAGCACATAAATCCTTTCGTCTGACTTGAACAGCTGAGGCTATCAAATCTGACTGTCTGGGTTGGATTTCGACGGTACTTCCCCCATCGTCGTCGTCATCACACAGCAGGGCCGAATTTGGAAAAAAGTGCCTCTAGGATAAACCTATCAACAGTCGTTGCGGACCTGAGTGATGTTAGAGAACAGATAGAATATTCAAGTCGAAAGCTGACTGCACCGACTGTGCACTGTTTGTATGGAAACGAGTGAAATGAAAATTGTCCACAAGTTGCTTTGTTGAGGGAGACATTAATATGAACGAGCAAAAATGCAAATGAAGCCTGTGGCTTTGCAGAAACTAGAGCCCTTAGCTCTCGCTCTCACACTGCACAGAAGACTTACCTTTGTTCTGTAGAGTGGATTGCTGAAGTCCCAGTCGGGTGCCACGAATAAATATCCACGTTTTGACACCTTCCTCGTTGCCTGCCGGGGAGAGAAAAATGGAGGAAAAAGAAAATAATTAGCATTGTCGTAAATTTCACTTGCCTCACGGTCTTGGCGCTATACAATTGGCTAGATGCAATAAAACAATTTATGACTGATGGCAAGTTATGCTTAATATATGTTGTGATTTTGTTCTGCTATTTGTGACTGCTGATCGGATTTATTTATTGATTGTTTGGTATTGTTTGTTTGGAAAACTTGATTTTAGGAGAATAAAGATGATAGTGGAAATGACGGCTTCTGCAATACCTTAGCTATTGTCGTCAGAAGGTAAATTAAGTCAATTGTTTAAAAAGAGAAAAAAAATCTTTTTTTTTCCAAGATTTAAGTATTTTTTTGTGGAATTTCAAAAACAAGAAAGCACGGCTCCGTAAGGCTCTCGTAATTGAACATTTCAAATATATGATTTCATAAATGGTAACAAAGCATTCTCTTCTGTGAAATTATTCCCGGCACCTTGCACAATCTCACCTAATGACTATTTCTGATCATCACCAGTTCACTGCTGTAAAACAAACGTTGTTTTATGTTTGGTATTCGGAAACATCCGTTCCGATTTCAAAATTGCGTTCAGAGCAATAGGTACCTACCCGTTTATTTCCTACGTTTGAAGAAGATGCCGCATAGCACGTGTCGCCTCCACATGGGATGGGCCTTTTTTTAGTCATAGCCAGCTGGTCGTTAGAGTTCCATCAAATGCGATTGACGTTGCCATGGTAAACCATTGGTAAATGTTTCAACTGTCATCATCGGGTGGTGGTGCCGACACGTTAATGAAACCAAGTATGCAAATTAATTCAATTTCAAATACTATAAATATGCTTGCAATTTAAAGGTTTGGTGTTCGTAATCATTCATTTTTTTCTAGCCGTATGTCAACCATATGCACCTATATCCACACAAACAATGTATAGTAAAATATTTGAAATTATTTTACCCCCATTTCCAGTCACCGTCACCACCATTCAATGGAATTGGTGGCACTTTAAGAGGTGTGCAGTGGGAAGCCAAAAATGTAAAATGCCACAATTTATTTGTGTCAAATGGGTATGTGATTTTAATTTGCTAGCGCATTGTTCGCTTTCAGGTTATGTTGATTGGTAGCAAAATGCAGTCAACTGTAATTTCTTAGCACTGTTTGAAGCATACAATATTTCTCCGGGTGGTTTGAGGAGAGTGAAGTGGGGTTTAGTCACGTTGGAGCTTAGAAATGTATGTTCTGGTGTTGTTTGTAGCTTGTATTTATTACACTTGATACAGTAGCAACCCTAGAAATGTCCAGCATCAAAATGACAGCAAATCGAAATCTAATTTTGATATCAACTTCAAACTGAAATCATAATTTTATTTCAGTTGACGCAATTGACAAATTTGATTACAAATGTTGTTTTCATTTTTATGTACATTTGCTCTTCAAAAATATGTTGTTGCAGTTTTGTTTTCAGTGCCTTAGCAGAACATCAAATTGAATACACGTTTTGTTATCAACAGGAAACATTTACATCTAAATTTAGTTTTAAGTTTGCTCTCACTAATAGCAGAATCAATTGATGTCACAGAAACAACTAAAACGACAGCAACCTGAGTGTTCATTATCAGCAACATCATAACATCAAATTTAGTTTTCAATTTGATATCAGACTTTGCTTGGGAATTTTATGTATTTTGTAATGACTATTTTATGGTGCATACTGTAAGTTTGTTGGACATCTAAACACGCTTGCTGACACTAAAAAACTTCCGGACTTGCACGGAATACAAAAAACCTCTTCTACTGGTGGTAATGTATAGTTACCAGTGCATAGTCAACAAGTGAATCAGTACAGTTCGTAATATTTATGTTATTACTCAGAAAAGAGGTTAAGCGACCAGTTGAACCAGGTGAAATTTGTTCAAAAGATTGAGTTAATCCAGTTAACTGTAAATCACCTCATGTAGCCCGCAGTGAAGAAAATGCTCTCGGTGACACAAAGACGTACTTCATTCGCTTCCATAGTGTAATCCCGGCTAAAATCCCGGGAGACCCAATTCTGTGATTTACGGCGAACCTGAACTGAACATTCGATATTACTCGCGGCAGGAAGCATCACCTTCGGCGCAGCGGGATCGCCGTTGTGGCGGTGATGTGGGTTTGTTGCATTTTGACACTTACCGTCGCGGTTGGATGTCATTCTGCGCGATCAGGAAGTGAACGAACACCTAAACCAAATCTGTATGCAAAAGCCAAACCACAAAGTAACGCGTTCCGACGGCGTCGACTTGAGAACGTTAAGATTCATCTTATTTTTGCACCATGGAGCAGTATTTTGTCTGAAGTTAGGTAGTTCGTTTCTGTGCGTTGAGATTTCAGGTATTCGAACGAGGCCTCCAGGAAGTCGTCGCCGTCCAGGAAGTGTGTAGCCTGAATTAAATTAATCTTTGACGAATTCTTTTAAGGTTATTCCTTGTAGCGTCCTTTTTCACATTTCGTGATTTCACAAGTCAACTAATTAATTAATTGTAAATTTACGTTGTTAAATCTACTACTTGTTGTTTGCTACGGAAAAGTAAACAAAATCTGACATTTTTAGACATTGCTACCGACGCCAGGAAGGCAGCTCCCACACCTGGACCCTACCTATCGATCCATCAGCTCATGGATAGGGGACCAACGGCTTTACTTCTCGTGGCGTAATCAGATAGTTTACACCTCAGGAAAACCCAACGACACCAACTGGGATTGAACCCAGGTCCACTCAACCACCGGCGCCGCTAAGGTTTCGTTGAAGTTTGTAAGCTATTTCTCAAGGCATCCTTCCTTTGACGGCTATTGCGGTATCATCTGCGAACAGGAAGAATCGAGGGGAGGAATGTCAGAAGTGTAGATGTTGTAGAGCAAAGGGCCAGCAGACTGCCTTGTGGAACTCCTACTGGGGTGGACAAAGCGATAGTTTAAAGTTTAAGCGGTAGTTTAAAGAAAGGAGGCTGATCGGTCTGCATCTTGAAGGCCATGTTCTCACCGGGTTTGCGGATTAACTGTTGAAGATAGAGGTAAACAATTAAAGGGTTGTGTCCTAGACACGACCACAGTACGACGTAGAACTACGCAAAATTGAGGTATGTCATGCATTTTTGATAATTATACTTTATCCTAAATTTTTAAAGTACTTTAATGTTTCGGTTATGGTTCAAAACTTGCGACAATTCATGTTAGCATAATCAGACCACGGTTCATCTAACGCATGAGATAATGTATTTAAATTTAATGTAATGGTTAAGAATTGACAGAATTTTCCCTACATAACTAAAGGGTGATACGGTCAAAATTTGGTCAAGGGAAAACGCATGTAAATCGGTGAAATCGTTTATTTAAAAAATCAAATTAAATTTCTTTTTCAAGTTCAATTAGTATAAAATTCAGGAAAAATATTCAGTTAGGCTTCCGCTTTTCCAAATCCGAATTGCCGGGCCTTACGCTTGACCCCTGCCATCAGATTTTGTACAGCCACCTTGTCCACCTTCTTCGCCGCAGAAAGCCAGTTTGCCTTGAACTGCTGCTAGCCCTTAGCAGTTTTTTTGGTCTTCTTTAGGTTCCGCTTGACAATAGCCCAGTATTTCTCAATTGGGCGGAGCTCTGGCGTGTTGGGAGGGTTCTTGTCCTTGGGAACCACCTGCACGTTGTTGGCGGCGTACCACTCCATGGCCTATTTACCGTAATGGCAAGATGCCAAATCCGGCCAAAACAGTACGGAACAACCGTGTTTCTTCAGGAAAGGCAGCAGACGTTTATTCAAACACTCTTTCACGTAAATTTCTTGGTTGACAGTCCCGGAAGCTATGAAAATTCTGCTTTTCAAGCCACAGGTACAGATGGCTTGCCAAACCAGATATTTCTTTGCGAACTTTGACAGTTTCATGTGCTTGAAAGCATCTGCTACCTTTCCCCTTCCTTTTGCCGTATAAAACTCTTGTCCCGGAAGCTGCTTGTAGTCGGCTTTGACGTAGGTTTCGTCGTCCATTACCACGCAGTCAAACTTCGTCAGCATCGTCGTGTACAGCCTCCGGGATCGCGCTTTGGTCGTCGTATTTTGTTTATCATCGCGATTTGGAGTCACTACCTTCTTGTAAGTCGATAGTCCGGCTCGTTTTTTGGCTCGATGCACGGTTGTAGACGATACACCCAGCTTATTTGCGGCATCTTGGGTTGATAAATGTTGAGTTATTTTGCTGTAATCAATGTACACTAAATTTGAAACTTTTTCTTCACACATTTTTTGTTGATTTGCACCTCAGTATAGTACACAAAAACGCCACACATGTTGTGGGATAAAACAATTGCTAAAAAATAAATTAACTGTTTTCAGTAGCTCCATCATTAGTTTCAAATTAGGTTTCTGAAGCAGAGAAGAAAGTGAAGATTGCATTTTATGATAGCGCAACAGGCAGTTGTTTTACCTGTGAGAAGACGGTACTTTAAATATTGAACAAAATGTTTGTTCATTTGTCAACGAAGTAAATGAGGAAGGGGTGTAACGATTATACGGCATCATCATTATGTACTTTACAGCGTGTTCGTAGAATGATTGCAAAATAGAATACTGCGACTTTTCTCAAATTCAATGTTTGGTTTCCAATAAGTAGGTGCTACAAGTACAACAACATTAACTAACATAACTAACAACATAGTACAACATTAATTGAAAATTAGGGGATTCAGCTATTTAATTTCAAAGTCAGAGCAAAAGCTTGTATACAGGTTCTCCACCTGTTTAATGTTTTGATAGTAAACATCATAGTTAAGGTACACCGGTGCAAGTTGAAACAGTTCGTATATCTCTTTGGAAATGAATATTCACTGTAATTATTTTTGAAAGGCATTGTGTACTACCGCAATATCTAAGTGTTTTTACGTTGTTCCTGTCTTGCAATTCAGTATTTTAAACAGGTTTTTTAAACTTGCATGTCAGTATAACAACTGATATCTTAAAACTGAAAAATTA